GGGGACACTCCCGAAGTGTGGCAGGTGTAATTTCCATCATCACGGAGTCTGCCATGATTTAAAATGCAGCAATTGCAACCGTGTGGGGCACACTACTCAAGTCTGTAGAACGCCAGCGCAAAACATCTCCCAAGCCACTAACATCGGAGTCAGTTCGACTTGCTATGGTTGTGGTGAAGCCGGTCACTATAATAAGAATTGTCTAAAAGGGAGGAACAACGAAAACAACCGTGTCCACATAAATCCGATCCGACACTTCACTTCCACCACTGATGCTGGTACAAGCCAGATATGTCATTTATGTGGTGAGATAGGACATCTCAAGAAGGATTTTCCAATAACAGAGAACTCTGGCGCAAACGGGAAGATACTAAGGATCACTGCTGCAGGAGAAACTACTTTCGGACCCACGTTGAAATATTAGGGCGTTTCGTTTTAGTAGACTTATAAACTGTTAAAAACTAGTGCAACTCGAGTCTTATCTTTTGCGAGATCCCGTCAGGCAAGGGACTCTCGTGCTGCGTGTACTTGCTTTTGTAGTATACCTTGTTCGCAGCAATAGTCTTATAGGTAAAACTAAAGTACCAAAACTCTGTAAAAGTTGCACCATTATGTTTTTGTAACACCTTTATGAACTAAGTCTAATGCCTCTTATTCCGAGTAGTCCGACATTTGCATATAACTTGAGCAAATTCGACCCTCACAATACCCGTTTCATGCGTAAATTCTTTTCTCCGAAATCGCCTTTCTAGCAAAGCCGTCATTCCAGAACTCCGAGGTACTCATGTAGAGAGTACCTTATGTTTCGTACCCATCCCGAAGACACCTCAACAAACCTCCCCGGAGTACCACTCGTACAGTACGTCAAGTTCAACCCGAAGATCCATACGGTCGATCTATCGCTGGAGAAGGTATACGCAAGGGTGGTATATAATCAAGGTTCTACAGGCTTAGAATTGATGATTCCGCTTTAACTTCTTTTCCTTGTTTGGATGTGAGCTTAAAGAAGAATCATTTATTCGAATGCCTTTTCAGTCTTAATTATATACGACTCGTATACACGAAGCTGTGATTGATGAACCAAATATGACTTCTGATATGAACTTTAGGACGGAGACTGCCCAAGACTACGAGTGATCGTACTTTCCATACGGATAAACTTAGAATCCAATCAAATGCCTTCTCACAGATCGAGACAATAGATTCAGGTAGAACAGAAAACTCCCAGGATTACCTCCGCAACGTCAAGTCGAATTTAGGATCGACTTAGTTCCAGGGGCTACCCCAGTAGCCAAACCGCCCTATCGTCTAGCACCTGCATTGATGCAAGAACTGTCCGATAAACTTAACGAACCGCTCAACAAGCTAACCATAAAAAATCAGTACCCTTTGCCTCTCATAGACGAATTATTTGATCGACTGAAAAAGGGCGAACTTCTTTTCAAAAATCGACTTAAGATCCGGATATCACTAACTACGAGTGCTAGGGGAGGATGTTCCGAAGACAGCCTTCCGAACTCGTTATGGGCACGACGAATTCGTAGTGATGCCGTTCGGATTAACAAACGCACCCGCAGTATTCATGGATTTAATGAATAGGGTGTGTCGTCCTTACTTGGATCAGTTCGTCATCGTCTTCATCGATGACATACTTATCTATTCTCGTAGTAAGGAGGAGCATGGTCGACATCTGCGACAAGTCTTAGAAACATTGCGTTCGGAGAAGCTCTATGCGAAGTTCTCGAAATGCGAATTTTGGATCCGAAGAGTCGAATTCTTAGGGCACGTGGTTAGCGAAGAGGGAATACACGTGGACCCTTCCAAAATCAAAGCCATTGAGAATGGTCAGATCCGAAGACACCTACAGAAATTTTTAAAATTTCTAGGTCTCGCAGACTACTATAGTAGGTTCTTACAGAACTTCTCACGATTCGCGAAGCCCCTTACAACTTTGACCCAGAAGGGCGTGGCCTTTAGCTGGGAAGAGAAGCAGGAGAGATCATTCCAAACGCTAAAACGAGCCTTGTGCACCACGCCAATACTATCCCATCCAAAAAGGAATAAAAGACTTTGTAGTCTATGGCGATGCGTCCAATTCCAGGGCTCAGTTGCGTTTTGATGTAACGAGGTAAGGTCATTACCTAAGCCTCCCATCAGTTGGAAACCCTCAAAGCTGGCTATGAAATTCGCGATCTAGATTTAGAGGGCATCATTAGGGAAGGTCGTTCAGATTAGTGGACGATTGAAAGCCTCTAGTGACCGACAGAAAAGCTACGCAGATAAACGAAGGAAACCATTGGAATTCCAGGTGGACGACCGTGTTCTATTGAAGGTCTCACCCTGGAAGGGCTTAATACGCTTTGGAAAGCGTGGAAAGCTAAATCCAAGATACATAGGGCCTTTCGAGATTCTCGCTAGAATCGGCCCTGTAGCTTACAAACTTAACTTACCTCGTGAACTCAGTAACGTACATTCTACTTTCCACGTCTCGAACTTGAAAAAGTGTTTGTCCGACGAGACTCTTGTAATCCCACTCGACGAGATTGAGATCAACGAGAGCCTCAACTTCGTGGAAGAACCTGTAGAGATCATGGACCGAGAGGTCAAGAAAACAAAGCAAAGCCGTATCCCGATAGTGAAGGTTCGCTGGAACGCCAAGCGAGGACCTGAATTCACTTGGGATCGAGAGGATCAGATGAAACTGAAATATCCTCATCTTTTTGCTTAGTTATTTGTAACTACTTAATTGCTTAAACTCTAATTTCGGGACGAAATTCTCTCTAACGGGGGGATGATGTGACAATCCGGAATTTTTATCTTATACACTTATTCAAATCAATGAAGGCCAGACTCGTTTTTGCTATCCCTTAGCACTGTTTAGAGTCTATTTGAGTGTTCTAAACCTAGTACCATCAAGATAGGGGCCTAGAAATGGGAAAGCTAGATGCATATCAAGCAAAATCGGGCCAAACACTCCAACATATGGAGTGTGCGGCCACACACTTGTGTGTACGGCCACACACAAGAGTGTGCGGCCACACACCCATCCCAACCGCACACTCTCCCATATATATTCAACACTTGTCATTTTTGAACACTTTTTCCCTTCTTCAAAGCTAGAACTCGTTTTTCTCTCAAGTATCATCCAAATCTTCATCTTGATCTTCATAAAAGTAAGTAATTCTTCCTTTTGATTTGTTGATACACGACCTTAACTAGCAAAACCCTTTGCTTTGATCCATGAAAACATCCATCTTTATTCAAGAACACTAAGAACACACACTAGTTTTGGACCTTAAACACCCTTTCAAGCCTCTATAACGTGTATACACTTATCACAACTTGGTATATGCTAAGAACACTTGATGATATACTAGAAAAACACGATTTTATCATCTTCATAAAGGGTGTGCGGCCGCACACACCATGTGTAGCCGCACACACCCTTTTTAGGTCCAAAAATGGCAATGAACTCCATATAAGGCTAAAGCATGAAGTAAGAAACCTTCCTAGATGAGTCCTAAAGCCTTAAAATACGTTTTGGCACATTTCATAGGGAGTGTGCGGCCGCACACACATCCTGGCCGCACACCCTGGCCGCACACACACAAATATTGTGCATTTTGACCATACACTCCCTTGTATAGCCATATACCCCTATATACAATCATATATGGTTGTAACACTTCAAAATAAGTGGTTACTAGTCCCTAAGGTGGTTCCAAGTCAATAATTAGTTGTTATAAGCACTAATTGTATTCATATATGTATCATTATATGTTAAATAGGATCCGCGTGTGTGTTCAAGTCTTCACTAGACACTTAGCATCCTATCCGACACTTTCATCCAAACCACTCACTACAGGTGAGTTCATACCCTTAATTAACCTTTTAAATGATTTTAAATGCTTTTATGGGGGGGGGGGGGGAATACAAGTTGATCTATTATAGTTATTGTATCAATCACATGTGATTAATAACTACCAAACAAGTGGATTTCTTACTTTTCAAACTATGTTATCAAACAAACAACTTCAAACTGTTTTACAAACTCTTTTACATATCAAATACTTCTACAAACTCGTTTACATATCAAATACTTTTACAAACTCTTTTACATGTCAATTATTTTTATTAAACTCTTTTAAAATAACTTGTATTCTCAGGTCACCAGTAGATAGGTACCGGTACCAGGTTTTTGAGAAGATGGAGCTCGTTCAAGACTCATCTTTTATTTTGATTTATGTTTTTGGTGTCTATTAAACTTGACAGAACACACTTGTATTAAATTATATTATTAATGCAATGGATGATGTTGTTGCTTGTTTACTACTTTGCATTGTTGTGATACTGTACATGACGTCCTCCACCCTTGAACGATTCCGCCGTTCCGGTTTTGGGGTGTGACAGAGTCCTAACACCGATTGGCTGTAACTTTACTTTGGAAGCCACCAAGTTAACAAACTCATTAAAATTAATATGGAGACTTAAATCACACCTCAACAAGTGTAATCAAACACTATATAATATATAACACCGATTGGCCCCCACGACCTTTTGGTAAAAACAGGACTCTAAAAATCTGATTATAATAACTCATCTTGAATAACATAATTGTATATTAAGATAATTTTTTAGAGCCCTAAACACATCTCATATGAAATAAAGGGGAACCCTAAATATGTAATCTGAAATGTAAACACATTTCAAATTGTTTGTCTAATCTGAATAGTCCGATATAAAATTAGGTTAGTTGGAAATTGACCATTTAAGAATAAATGATTATTTTTTAAAACGCTTATATTGGGATATGATAACGTTTCTTAAGATCGTATAATCATTGACGTGAAAAACAATTACTAAAAAACGACACTTTTTTGTACGCTTTCATTCGTGTGAATGGTCTCAAATTATCTCCATTAAATTCCATCGAGTTCAGGTATCCCACAGCAAAAAGTGTGGATGTGGGTGTGGTCTGGTCGTCCCCACGCGTCTGGTCGGCCTCCGACACCACGTGTCTCACTCTTCTATATATAGAAAAACCACATTAACGACTCGAATCTAAGAAAGCAACTTCTTTCTGAAAGTTAAACTGCAAGTAACTGCAGCCGCCGGTATACTCCAGCTACTCCGCCGTTCTCTGCAGAAGCTAGCAACAAAATCTCGATAATGGCGTCGGATCCACAGCAATTCGAAGAAGGAAGCACCAACGACTACGGATCAGAACTAAACACAAGCCCGACCGACGAGCTTGCGGCGGTCTCCGCCTTAGCAAGGTAAAACAGTATACACACTCTCCTCCGTCACAGTCGGCGTTCGTAGATGAGCTTTTAATCTCTTAGAAAAAAAAAATCAAATTGAACGCTACGGTATAAATTCAACTGTAGCGATCGTATTCGTGTGTGATTTAAATTTGGGGGAAGGAGGCATGAGTTCTAGAGGAAACTCAAAACCAGGTCTCGCTCCCCGTTTGAGAAACCTGAAATTGGAAGGTTTTCTCAGAAATAGTTTTTTGGTTTACCTCCGTCTCTGTTATAGCAATGGTATGCTTTGTTCTGTAGAAGCGCAGGGGAGTTGATGATAATCCAAACGTTACACCGTTTCATCGGGCCTGTTCTTATACCAATCCTTAAGCCTCTGATTCGTGAAATTGTAAGTTCTCTGTCTCTGTATGAATCAATATTGATGACCTCTTGTTGTTGTGCATTAGTAGAAGATAACCGATAGTCCATAAATTTCCAGGTAACAGAGCAGGTTGGATTGGCTAAGTTGGAGCTTTTGGCTAGAATGAAAGAGTAAATTTAAACCAGTTATTATCCAAATAAAGTGGAACCTTTAATTAAATGATCTTTTACTGATATACATGACTTGTATGATCATCAGGAACCCTGCAAACGAGGCAAGTACTTCAGTTCCCAAAAGATTAAAGCTACTGTTCAGAAACAGGATTTCCCTTCCAGTATACACAGGAAAGCGTCTTTCAGGAGAGAATGGAAGCACCATTGAAATAGTCTTGGTTGATGCTCTCACTGAGCAGATTGTGAATACTGGGGTCGAATCTACAGCAAAACTGGAAATAGTTGGTTTTCGTGTAGGTGATGATGGTGATGGTGATGATGATGGTTGGACATTTGAAGACTTTCAAGAAAGGATTCTGAGTGAAAAGAAAGGGAAACGCATCCTCCAAGGAGATACTTGCTTGCAGCTAAAAGAAGGTGTTTGTTTCGTGAGTAAGATTTCTTTTACTCATAATTCAGAAAACACCAAAAACGGTTTGTACAGACTAGGGGCAGGAATTGTGGATGCTGCGTTGATGAACAGAGTGGAAGTAGCAAGGACAGAAGCCTTTCTAATGAAGGATGGGCGCACTACTTGTAAGTATCATTCTAATATTAGTATTAAGATGGATCCAATTTGCATAAAAGTAATTGATATAGTGGTGTTAATTTGTGTGTAGATTATGAAAAACACCCCGACCCACGTTTGTCAGATAAGGTGTGTTGTTTAAAACACATCAGCTATAAGGGTCCACGCTATAAACAACTGAGAGATGAAGGAGTGTTCACTGTGAAGGATATGCTGACTCTTCTCTACACAGATCCAAAACAGCTTCAAGATGTAGCTACATATTTCTCTTATCTTTCTATTTCTGTTGATATAAGACCTCTACCTGCTTTTTCAGCTTCAAGGATACACCTATATCATCCACTTCCTCTAAAGAACATATTCAACAGAAAGCATTTTCTTTATTCGTACTAGATGCAATGCCAGATATAATGCCCTGTTTCTTGCGTAGGGAATTAGACTACAATTGCAATTAATGTCAACGGCACAAAAGTTGCAATTGTTGTTCCACCAAAAAAAGGTGGGACAGATCTCTCGTCCGTGCAAAAGACGTGAATGCCCTCCCTCCTCGTCATCCTCATCGGAAATACCCTAGAAAGCTTGTTCAGTCCAGTCCAGTTCAGTTGAGTCTCATCCTGTGTAACAAACACAGCCTAAATGTTTCTGACCTTCATTTTGCATGTATATTACAAGAGAACCTGCCTACTCTAGCTAATATTAATATAACGTATTTTATTTTGACATTTTGCAGATTCTTAACCTTAGAGCTTCTTCTAACATCTGGAATGACATTGTAAAAAATGCTCAGGCGTCCAATGGGATGTTTTTGTACCTTGATCCAAGTACACAAGGGAAAACTGGTGTAGTTCTTAATGCCAAACTTCAATTAAAGGGATTAATAGAAGAACCTCATAAGTACGTACCAGTTGACCAGCTAACTGCCAAAAAAAAGGTAAGTTGGGGCCTCTATTGTTTTTGGATTAAGTGCTGAATGGTTAAATGATGTCCGTATGAACCAAGTGTTTGCCTATTTCTTTTCTTTTCTGTGTAAATGACAATATTCACTCTTTAATCTCTATTGACAGGTGGACAATAAAGAGTTAGTGGTGTTTGCATCTAAACACTTTAAGATGCTCCACTCTTTCGAAGATGAAACTTGTCTTAAGGAACATCTTATTTTGTGCTCATTATCATTACCATCTCCCAACCAAAGTTTGGGGACTTCCAATGTGATTGATGGACCACCAAGAAATGGTCTCACAGACAATTCTAATAAGTCAAACTCACTAGTAGCCTCTGAATATGAACGGGGGAAAGGAATAGTCCATGTTGATAATGAGATGACATATTCAGGGAACTACCATGAAGAAGATATGTCAGCTTTAGAAAGTCCAATCACTGAACAGCATGCCCATAATCCTACAGAGCCAGGTACCTCTTTTCAGGATGTTGAGTCACCAGTGCATACGTGTGAGCATATGAACAATTCAACTGTCCTTGGTCAGTGTATGGACTGTTTGTTCAATGACCCAAATTTCCTTGAAAATATACACGACTTTCTAAACCATGATTCTTTGAATTTCAATTCCAACTCCGATGTTATGATGGTGACTACTCAGACTGTTTCCATCTGTACTATTGAACGTGCCCGGACAAGATGGACAAAAGTGTCCAAATTGCTTAGGCGGAATTCCGTAAGGGAAAGGATTATTAGTCTTACAGAAGGGATTCAAGCTCTCAAAAAGCAGAGGTGTTGTTAAAATGGTATGTGATCATTAATCACACAATTCAAGATTGTTTTTCCATTGCTGCCTAATGAATCTCATGTACAGTTGTACCATTCTTTTTTTAACTCTTATGTTTGTAGCATATATTTGGTTATTGATGCTTTTGTCATTGTAAGCAAATCACAATTCTTACATGTATATATATTCAGTTATTATTGCATCAAGTTGCTATTGTATAGTACAACATCTCTGTGTCATGCCTTTAAAATAGACGGACATGAAATCTTGCATCAATTATTACATCCTACAACTCTTGCTGTCATTGCATATTTCATCCTGCCAATTTTGAACCAGTAAATTAATTTCAAAACTCTATTACTAGATGTTGATAAATTAAACAACCATTTATAAAATAAATACCAACCTTTTTCTTTCTAGCCTCCAAAACTTCTTCTAAAGGTGGTCGACCTAAATACACAACAATGTTAACCAGTGGAAGAAAAACTAAGGACATATGTATGAGTCTAGCTAAGTTGACAAACCTGTGACTTGAAGACGATATTTAGCCCAAACACCATAAACAGCATCGGCTATTGTTGCCACCTGTCGATAACATGTTTTTAGGATCAATGTCCAAGTGTCACCAACGCAAGCATGACAGGTGTGATTTGGTGAGATGACTTACAGGCTCGTATTTGGTAATTGCATAAACCCATCCAAGATCAACTGCCTCATATAACTTCCTGAACGCCTGCACAAGTTTTTTTATCATGTTAAAGTACAAAAAACCATATGAGTAACCAAAAGCAACTTAGAATAATACCTCAACATTAGTGATTACAGTTCCATCAGACATGATTGCATGAATCTTTCCCATAGCCTAAAAATGTTGATAGATGTTATAGTACTGCTATGAACTGGCTTTATAAGATAAAATCAAAACAAGAACAGACAATCAAAAGCTTCTTGTATTGAGTAAAATCACTCAAAGACACCAAATAACATGGATATAACCCTAATGTTTTGCTAGTGATTTGAGAGCCTAGCCTCTCCCAGTGCTAAGATTACCAGATTTCACAAAAGATAATGCCACACTCCTGTCCTCTTCCCTCTTGTAAACATTTTTTCATAACAAAATATATTAAACAAAATACCTAAATTGCCCCTCCACTAATAAGATTCTCTTTATTTGCTGATTTGTCTATATTACCCTTGTCTAAATACGTGACTGAAGTGGATGTGTAGCAAACAAAAAGAATGGGACAAGATATTACTAACATACAGTTTCATAGTCTAGGCCTTGATTATCCTCTGGTGAATAATCGTCTGAACTTATATCAACAAAGTTGATTGCTTTGTAGTTCTTATTCCTTTCCTTTAGAATGTTAACCTAGCAACAAGAAACATGATTAAGTTTAAATAATGCTCGAATTGATAAATCATGGTTTTTGTATATACAGAACTGCATACCTCACGCATGCAAAGTGGACAATCACCATCATAAAGCATTTTAACCTTCCACTTTGGGGGAGATTGCATTTGATCTCCATTTTCCCCTTTCGTTGGAGTTATAGGATTTGTTGTTGCCTCTTGTATTGCTCGAACAGAAAATCGGAATACTATTACCATTGACAATAGTATGTTAGTAATTAGTGAATAATATCTGTAATTGAACTATTAAAGCTTTATTTGATTATAGAGGCAAATTGGAAGGAAACCAGATTCAGTAGTCAGCAGTATCAATAACTACGTTGAATTTCATAGAAATGTTCGTTTATACATGTGGGATTAAAAAAACAATCGAGAATTCAACATACTTGAGATGCAAAATACACAAACATAACTGAGATCAATTACTGATTGGTTTACCAGTTGGAGAAAGAGGGTAAGAGATGGATCGATGACGATGATTTGAAGCAGAAACCACAAATGGCCGTAGATACAAATTCGCAGGCGTCAATTGTCGCCTTCCGATAGAACCTGCTACTGCCCTAAACGCCATCGAATTGTTTGAATTCACCTACGTTTTCCCCAAAGAATCGAGTGTTTTGAACTCAAAATAAGGAAGGAGGAGCAGATGGCGGTTTTAGTGGTAGTTGTACGTGGCGCCACCTTGTTCATCCAGTTTTCACCAATCGCGGTTTCACCTCGTGTCTCATGTACACGGTGGAACACTAGCCACTACGACATGTTTACGAGAACCAATCACCATGTTTACTGAGAACTGATCACAAAAACAAAAAGTACTTAATAGCTCAAGGCCGGAGGGTGTGGTGCCACCAAAACCGCACTTCCTTTCCCGCCACATAAGCGTCGTGTTATTTTTTACCACACAAGTGTGGTTTCTTGGCCACACCAAGGGGTGGTGCCACACATTTATTTTCTTTTTTTTTTGTTTTTTTTAACTATTTAATTTAATAAAACTTATTTGTTTGGCATTAAAAAAATTTCATAAAAACTTTTTAAAAAAAAAAAAAAATCCTACAACCCATTTGTTTCATCACTTGAAAAAATATAAGCCCTAAAAATTTAATACTTGTCCTCTTTTGTTCAATATGCTAGGAATAATACAAATTAAATAAAAAAACAAATTAAAAATTAAAACAACAAATAAATATTCCCTTGGTTTGTTTCATTTGTGGGTTTTGTAGCCCAATAAAATGTTTAAACGAGCACAGATGAGAAAGAATCCAGCAAGAGAGAATATATATAGATTGAATAGTGTGGTAATAGAGAGCCGTGGAAATGAGGAGTGCAGTTCAAACCGCACACAAGGGGTGGTGTGCTACAAGCTGAGGTGGCAAAACCGTGGGTGTCACCACACCCACTCCCTCTAGTCTAAGGGAGTTTTGGAAAAAAAAGTGTTTGGATTATTTATTCCAAATAAGTTATTTTTAATGTTTTACAAATTTTTATTTTATGTGTGATAATAAAACAATTTATCAAAAACTACTTAACTAAGTCAACAAGTAACTAAGAAAATGACTTAGCAAAAAATAAAATCTCCAAAAAAATCTTAATATTTGGGCCGGTATATACAAAAGTCTTAAATTTTATTTTGTTAACAAAAAGTTCTGATTGTCGGATAAAAATTCGAATCAGCTTTTTTTACCGGTAAACTATTTTTTTACTCGATTATATCCAGAAAAGTCTTATTATTTTGCACAATTTATGAAAAAATCATATTTTTTTTCCTTTCAACTTTTTTACCCTTTAACTAAAAAACTAAAAATTTCTTGATTGAAATTTATATATAGATTAATTTTATGTTCCCTTAGGAACAGTACCTGAGCAGGGTACTGTTCCTTGGGTTAGTTAGTATACATCGGTTAGTTTAATCCCACCGATCAACCGCCTCAAATGTTTACGTCTTCTAATTTTGGTCTCCTCTTCCGCTTTCGTTTTGTCTTCATCGTCTTCAGCCTATACCGCCACCAACCCACTCCCGGCGCATATTCCACCGATTTTCTTCTTTTCAGTGGAATCGAAGCCTAGCCAAATCAGGAAGCCTTCGTCTACACAACGATGGTAACAAGGGGTTTCTGTAACGCCCGTAGATCAGGGCTAGTCAATTAAGAGACGATAAACATCAAAAATGACTTTTTGATGGAAGATTATTTAAATGATTAATCTTAACTAAGTTTTAGTATATGTTACAAGGATTTCGTACATATAAAGAACGTCGAAATCCGAGCTATAACGAAGAAGTTATGACCTGACGAAGTTTCACGACAAACCGGCACGGTGCCGAATGTCGTAAAAAGTGGGTTTTTGATAAACTACTTTTTAACCTTAGTGATCTAAATGAAAGTCGTAGTATTCGTTAAACCGAGAAGTTCGATAAAAAGAACGCCAAAATCTGACTTCGTATGAGGAAGTTATTATTTTTCTAAATTTCAGCTTAGCAGTAGACAGCTAAAAACTCGAATTTTAGATCGAGTGATTTTTAGCCAACACAAACCTAAATGAGAATCTAAGATCTCGTCAATAGTAGTACAACGGTAAAAAGTCTGACGAAAACGGACGCCGGATGAAGAAGTTATGGATTTTTAACGGATTTTCCAGTCCCGGTCTGTTAAAAATAATAATATAAAAATAAAGTCAAAATTTTCCGACGAAGTCTAAACGAAAGTTGTAGAGCATAATTTTCTCTACGCGTGCATATAAAGAACGTCAAAAACGGAGCCCGTATGAGAAAGTTATGGATTTTATAAGATTGGGCACAATTTTCGAGAAAAATCGCATGAATAGTGCCAGCCACTGGCCACGTGTCCGAAGCTGCTGCATGGCACGTCCGAGAAGCGACGCGTGTCGCACAGGTGTCCGAAGCTGGTCACGTGATCTCGCATGCTTCCCTCGTGACCCGACCCGCATGTTAGCTCCTGATTCGACCGAGGGTGCGGTCCAATGAACTTCCGACGCGCATCGCTGCTGTTGCCCCGTGTCCGAGGTGCTGGCCCAATCCGAAGCCGGCATGTAGCCTCCTCGCATCCGAGCCTCGCCGAAGCAGCCAGCTGGTCCGAGCCTCGCAGACACGTACCTCTCCCTCCTCGCTTCGGATCCAACCCTCGCTGCTATAAATAAGAGGGTGCGAACCCTCCCGGCTAGAATTTAAGATTTGGCATTTTTCACCTTTTTTTCAATATTTTCACCATTTTGACGTCCCCCGAAGCTCCAGTATCGATTATAACCCCCGGAATACGCCCCGAAGTGCCCGAAGACCCGGAAAATTTATCTTTTCGGTTTTGAAGCCCGACCCTTCGCAGAGCCCAGTTTCTCAATAAAACTCCCGATTTTATTCGAAACGATCGTTTAGGAAACGAATTGCTGCCCGATTTTCATTAAATCAGGTGAGTGTATAGTCACTTTCATCTTACACATAGATATGAAGTATTTTATATAAAATACGTGCTATTGTTATATTGTTGTTTGTTTATTTGAGATGGATGTTGAATGAGTGTTTTATACATGTTTAAAATGATTTAAAATGTATAAATATATTTTATCTTCAAATATGTTGGGTAAAACATGGGTAGATAAAGTATGAGGGATAAAAGTACAGTATAGATGTACGTTGGTAGCTATGAATTTAGTACAGTATAGATGTACGTTGGTAGCTATGTATTTAGTACGTTGGCGACTATGAGACGTAGTGCCTATTGTATAAACCCCGACAACTATGAGACGTAGTGCCTATTAGATAAACCCTGGCGACTATGAGACGTAGTGCCTATTGTATAAACCCTGGCGACTATGAGACGTAGTGCCTATTGTATAAACCCTGGAGACTATGAGACGTAGTGCCTATTAGATAAACCCTGGCGACTATGAGACGTAGTGCCTATTGTATAAACCCTGGCGACTATGAGACGTAGTGCCTATTGTATAAACCCTGGCGACTATGAGACGTAGTGCCTATTGTATAAACCCTGGCGACTATGAGATGTAGTGCCTATTGTATAAACCCTGGCGACTATGAGACGTAGTGTCTATTGTATAAACCTTGGTGACTATGAGACGTAGTGCCTATTGTATAAACCCTGGCGACTATGTGACGTAGTGCCTGTTGTATGAACCTTGGTAGTAATGGACTTTGGATAAATTCCTTAGGTCAATCCTGAGGAATGATTGGATGAAGGATAGTCGATTCTTGATCGACGTTTGTTAGTGCTTGTAGTATAAACCTTGGGCAGCGATGGACTTCGTGCCTATTCCTTAGGATGAATCCTTAGGAATGAGTGAGATTTGATTCTTAGGGTAAATCCTTAAGAAATAAATAAGATAATGGGGATTGGGTAATTGGGTTGATTGTTGATGTTTAAGCATAATAAATTATTTATTGTGGGTTGAAAACCCTATATGCTCACCAGGATCCCAAGCCTGACCCACTCAGTTTGTTTGTATCACAGGTATCGATACGAAGTTACTTTACACTGAGAGATTAAAAGAGATGTAGATCACTAGTGTAAGTGAGTGTAAGTCCTGTTTATGCTTATGTTTCTGTATTGACGATGACATCCCAATGGTTTAAGTGAATAAAATACATTTCTTCAGAAATGATTTGATAATATAATTATCATGTTTTTATGGGAACAAATTCCGCAACACCTTTTAAAAGGATTACTCTGAATTTATTTTAAAAATCATAAACGAAATCGGTCTTTTCTGGCCGAGAAATTAGGGGATGTCACAGTTGGTATCAGAGCATTAGTTTAAGCGAACTAGGAATTTGTAGGATTTCTAGACTTAAACTTAGAATGCTAAGCGATGATTGTGAGATGAGTGTCTGCTATATTTTAGACACGAGCACAAGTTTTATTTTAGGAAAGATGCCTAAAATGTTTTATGTGTTAAATATTTTATGTTATAGCTATAAGGATGCCTTATATGCTATTATTTGTTCGGATCTATGGTCTGTTGCCGACCGGATCTGGAAACTTTATGTGTTTAGGATTCTAAGCGTATGACTACGATATTAGAACTAGCATGTAAACGTTTCGAAGTGATAAGGAGATTTATACGTCGATCGTAAATAAAGCTTTCCTATCTTAAATTCTCGCCCAGTACACCGAACGTCTGCTTGGGTGTACAAAACGTTATGGTGAAGACGCGTAGAGAATGGAGTAGATGGAGGAAATGAAAAGCTTATGATAGTGAATGATACATATCAGAAGATATCATAAGAGTGGTATCTTGCCTTTAGAATATGTCTAATAAAATAACGGAACGTTTAGAGGGGTACGGTACGTCTGAAGTACACCTTTGATTGGCAGGATGATGGAATGATTGGTGTAATTTTTGAAGTTGTCCCATCGTCTGGAATTTCCATCACCAACCAAGTTGAAGTAGAATTGATGATTGAAGATACGCATGGAAGAAGTCCTAGTAGAGTCTAGGAAAATTTTATGATTAATTGGACACATTCGTATGTGTTAAATTGTTTTGTGATTTTAGGACTTGGGGACTGCGAGACAGTACTTGGGACGAGTATGAATAGGTGTGAATAGTAGTAGAGATCTATACTACTGGAAGCACAGGACTCACGCTTCGATCAGGGAAAGTCACAAGGTTACCAAGAAGCTAGTAATTGGTCTCGTTTTATTCAAGTATGTCGTTACCATCGTTTCGGTAATGACTAATGAGATGATTGATATTCTGACCCTAGTGGTCATATCAAATTGAGTCCGACTACGATGAGTTTGTTACATGGT